CCCCCCCCCCCCCACCGTGGATGGGCTCCAGTGCGGGCCCACAGTGGTGGGACCCAGTCCCTGTCACTGGTAAACTAACCACGGGGTTGGTGGCTGTCCAGCCCAGGCACACTGCAGCCAGTCGCTAACATGACTCTGACCTCACAGATGCCCCGAGTGACACCAAGGCAGGCCTGGGGATACTGGGGCACAGGGGAGCGGGGGCCCCGGAGGTCTCCGGGGAGGGTGTTGGTGGTGGGCGGGGTGCAGGCCAGGCCCAGGGCTGCCGAGCTCAGCTCCTTCCTGTGTCCGCGGGCACCCCCTCCCAACGGTGCTGCTCTCACAGCCTCACCGGCGCTGGGTCACTCGGTGCCACCTGTCAGCTCCCCAGGCTGGGTCTGAGAGCCCAGGTGGGGAGTGGAGAGAGACAGGCAGAGGGCAGGACAGGCTTGTCCAGGAGGCCAGGCCAGGGCACTGGTGGTAGCCAGGTTTGGGGGTGTCAGAGGCAGCCTAGGTCCACAGCCCTGAATGTCGGAGACCCCGAGCCTGGGGAGTGGGTGGTGACAGTGGGGTCTCTGGCTGAATGGCCGGGAGTGAGGCGTGGGTGAGCTCTCTGCTCACAAGAAGGCCCCGAGGCTCTGGCCCTCTCGTCCCCACCAGCCAGCGCCTCCCCCACCCCCTCGACCCTGGGGGCCCCAGTCCTAGATGTGGGGTGGGGTGGATAGGCCCCTCTGGGTCTGAACCCGGCCTCAGGCTCTCCTGCTCTGATCTTGTGTCCCCGGGGGCGGGGGGGGGGCAACCCAGGCCCTGCCCTCCTCAGGTGACAGGGACAAGGTGAACTCTCACATGGGATGGGTCTGTTAGGACCTAGCAAGGGAGGGGCCCGCTCACAACCGCTGGCCGTGGCCCTGCAGGGACTTCTGGGGTGACTTGGTTCAGGGTCGCACGGCCAGGTGGGCCTTGATGGCTCCATTGACAAGTGGCGAAACCGAGCGTCCCGGACCTGGCGGTGGGCTTGTCCAGCCTGAGCTGCTTGGCTGCGTTTGAGGGCCCTTCCGAGAGACAAGCCTGTGGGAGGCTGGCGACAGGTCCGGGAGGGCCTGGTGCTGCCACCCAGCGTGATTCACCCCAGAAATAGCTCGGCGCCGCTGTGGAGGCTGCTGCTGCTGTCTCCCGACTAGGGGGGCGTCACTGAGGCCCCTTGGGGGGATAGGCCTCCCCCTGCAGCACCCCCTGCCCCGGGCCAGCACACCTGGCGTTCGGTCCCTTTCCGGCTCGGCCCCCGGGTGGGGAGTGGGCTCCCCTGAGGGGGGGCGGGAGGGTGAGGATGGAGGGGAAGACCCCGGCGAGGGCCCCTCCTTCTTCTTCAGAGCAGGTGGGCCCAGGTCCCTCTCCCAGTGGGCACCTGCTCCGCCACGCAGGTCCAGGCCACCCGAGGGTCTCCCGCGTGTCTCCCTGCACCACTGGGCTTGCGCAGACTTCCTCCTGCCTCTGCGGACCCCGCCCAGGGAGAGCGGTGTTGTGAAACATGAAACTGGCATGCACGTGGGGCATGTGTGCACGCGCATGCACACTTGTGTGAGTGTGCGCCTGCGTGCGCCCTCCACCTGAGCCACAGTCACCCCCTCTGGGTGAAACCAGACCGCAGGTCCCTGGCCGGCCCCCAGGGAGCCCCGCACCGCTGCCCTCCTGCCCTGGCCGCTGGGTCAGCTGTTTGGGGACTGGCTTTGTAAAGGCGCCTGGGGTCCTGACGGCACCCCTCCTCTGCTCCCTCTTCCAGGCTGGCTTCCAGGGCGGACCTCGAAGGCCTGCAGTCATGGTGGTGGGCGGGGGCTGACCTGGCTTGCCCAGGCTATGACGGGCGCAGTGCCCTGCTTGTTGTGAGTGCCACCAGTGCCCCCACCGCCCTCTCCTAGGCCACCTCCTCCAGGAAGACTTCCTGACTGTTCCCCTGGCTCCCCCTCTTCCCCCCACCCGATGTCCAGACTCCTGCTCTCCTGGTCCCTGGCCCCGGAGCTGTGGGGACAAGGAGTCACGGGCGTGGGTGGGAAGAGCCAGGGAAGACATCCAGGTGGGTGGTCAGGGGCCAGGCTGCTGGTCAGTGTCCCTGAGGCAGCCCCGCCCCCACGTGCACCCTCCTGTAGGCAGAAGCAGCTGGAAACCTGGAAGTGGTGACCTTTCTGCAGAACCTCCAGGGTGGGGCTGCTGTCCAGGCCCCAGGCCCAGTAAGTTTCCTCTGCCCCACACAGGACGGAAGGCTCCCCCGCTGGACTGTGGCCCCCTGTGTCTGAGGGCCAGTCCTGGGGACCGAGCCAGAGGAAGCTGAGGTGGGTCAAAGTCACTTAGGCCTGTGGAGCTGTTTCTGTAGGTGGGGCACACACTGTGTAGGCGGAGCCAAAAAGCGCTGAAGGGCGCAATCCGGGAGGGCTTCCCGTAGGAAGGGTCAACCTCACACCTCCTCTATTCTGTCTTGTCAGGCCACTCTGTGACGCACCCTACCAGAGCACCGGAGGGCCCCGGCCATGGCCAAGAGGTTCCTGGAGCCTGGAGGGGACCTCAGACCCCTCTACTGCGTGTCCTGCCCACCCTGCCCCACCCCACTGGGTGGGGGGCTCCCACCTGCCTCCTACCTCACACCCCATCCCCCCACTCCGTCATCTGGCCCTCCAGAAGACTCTCAAGTCTGGCTGGGTTTGCTCAGGTCCTTGGGTCCCTCCCTGGGAAAGGACTTGTCCGTCTGCCCTGCCCCCACACACCGCCTGTGCCCAGGGAAGAGATCTCAAGAGACCTCCGGTTTTCAGGCAGTGCTGCCTGGTGTCTAACCTGAAGCTGCCTTGCTGCGGAACAAGCCATTCCTTCCTGTTGTGGCCTGCTGGAGGGACGCCACCCCACGACTCTGTGACGTACCCCCACTGCTGGGACTCTCCCCGCTCTGTTTCGCACACGGCCTAAAGGTCTCGGTCGGGCAGAGCGGCAATAAAGTCTCTCTGGGGACCTCCCTCGGTCCCCAGACCCCAGCTCCAGCGCGTCCTTCTGGGTCCCAGGACTGTGGGTATGTGTGTGGGGAGTCGCGCCCCAGGCTCTGGGTCAAAGGGCCGTGTCTT